TACATACATAAATCAGTATCAGTCAATGAAACTGAAGATGTAATTAAACACCTGCCAACAAAGAAAAACCCAGGCACTGGTGGATTCACTGCTGAATTCTACAAGAAATATAGAGAAGACCTAATGCTGCTACTTCTCAAACTCTTTAATGAATTGAAAGGGAAGCAATTCTCCCAAACTCATTCCTGGAAGCAAGCGTTACCCTGATACCAAGATCAGAGAGGATCCAACAAATAAAGAGAACTATGGGCCAAACTCCCTAAGGAACATAGACACAAAAATCCTCAATAAGATGCTGGCAAACAGAAGCAACACATCATCAAGATTATACACCATGACCAAGTGGGATTCATCCCAGGGATGCAAGGAAGGTTCAACATATGCAAGTCAACATATGTAATTCAACAAATTAATAGAGCCAAGGACAATCCACATGATTATCTCAATAGATGAAGAAAAAGCATTTGACAAAGTCCAACACCTTCTCATGAAGAAAAGCCTACAGAAAATTGGAATAGATGATCTTTATCTTAATCCGATAAAAGCCATCTATGACAAACTGACAGCCAGCATCATACTAAATGGTCAAAAACTGTATGCTTTCTCTTTAAAATCAGGAACAAGACAAGAATGTTCTCTGTCACCACTCTTTTTCAGTATTGTTCTGAAGACATTACACAGAGCAATTAGACAGAAGAAAACAATAAAAGGAATGAGGATAGGAAAGGAAGAAGTTAAATTACCATTATTTGCAGGTGACATGACACTCTACATAGAAGACCACAAAACCTCCACCAAAAGTCTAGATTTAATAACCAGATTCAGTTAGATAGCCAGAAACAAAGTCAACACTCAAAAATCAATAGCATTTCTGTACACCAATAACAAACTCAACTGAGAAATCAGGGAGACAGCACCTTTCACAATAGCATATAAAAAATGAAATACTGAGGAATGAATCTAACAAAGAAAGGAAAAGACCTTTATATTGAAAACTACAGTACTCTGAAAAAGGAGACTGATGAGGATATTTGAAAGTGGAAAGTATCACTTGTTCTTGGGTAGGAAGAAGCAATATATTGCAAATGGCCATACTTACAAAATTGTTATACAGATTTAATACCAATAGCATATCTCACAGAATTAGAGAAAACAATCCTAAAATTCATTTGGAACTAGAAGAGACCTAGAATAGCAAAGGTAATTTTGGTCAACAAAGGCAAGGAAGGGTGCATCACAATCCCTGACCTGAAATTATACTACAAAGCTACTGTGATAGAAACAACATAGCCGGGTGTGGTGGCACACACCTGTAATGCCAGCATTCGGGAGGCAGAGGTAGGAGAATTGCTGCAAGTTCAAAGTCAGCCTGGACTACATAGTGAGTTCAAGGACAGCCTGAACTACATGGGGAGACTCTGTCTCAAAACAAAGACAAAAACACCCCAGCATGCTACTGGGGTGTAGCTACTGGGGTATAGACCTGAGGATCAATAGAACAGAGTATAGGATGCAGAAATAACTCCAAACACACTCAACCACCTTTTCTTCATTTTTTAGTATTTTAAGTCAACCACCCTATCTTTAACAAAGGAGCCAAACACATTTACTAGAAGAAAGATAACCTCTTTAATAAATGGTGCTGGAAAAACTGGCTTTCCACATGCAAAAATTAAAACTAGACTCACATCTTTCACCATGCACTAACCTACAATTGAAATGGATCAAATATCTAAATATTAAGACAGAAACACTGAATCTGCTGGAGGATAGAGTAGGTAGAACTCTTGAAGACATTGGTGTGGGCAAAGACTTTATGAAGAAAACACCAATCACACAGGAACTCACACAAAGAATCAACACCTGGGTTCTCATCTTATTAAAAAGCTTCTGTGCTGGGCATGGTGGCACATGCCAGTCATCCCAGCACTCAGGA